TTTCTTTTCCAAGAATCACTACAGTAGCTGTAGGGGGAACTTCCTATGTTGTACCCTGCACCAACAGATGGAACAAAGAACTTCTGATATCTTAAATGTACAAGTTGCCTCCAACACTGGAAGTACTCATTTCAGAATCACTGTTCGGTTGCCTGTGCACAATGAAGGAAACAAAGGAGAAGAGGCAGCTGGAGGTCCCAGCTCATACTTGCCTAAGCAAACCCTTATTCTAGCAGCTTCATGAAAGCACTGACCATTTTATTTTTTATTTTTATTTTTTTTGTGAGGCAGTTGGGGTTAAGTGACTTGCCGAGAATCACACAAGCTAGTGAGTGTTATGTGTCTGAGGCCAGATTTAAACTCAGGTCCTCCTGAATCCAGGGCTGGTGCTCTACCACTGCACTACCTAGCTATCCTGCACTGATCATTTTAGAAAGCCCTAGGGGATGGAGAGAGAAAGAGAGAGAGACAGAAAGAGAGAGACAGAGACACAGAGAGAGAGTGACAAAGACAGAGACAGAGAGTCAGAGACAGAGTCAGAGAGAGAGAGAGAGAGAGAGAGAGAGAGAGCGCCTTATATGCCACAGGTTTCAGCAGAGAGACAGCAGAGAAGTGGAGGTGGGGAGCAGTGGATTAATTCCTTTTAAGATCTATTGAATAGGTGGTTATTTCTAGCTTAGTGGTCAATTTCTCTTTGATGTAGCTTTGACAGAAATCTTCCCAACGTCCTGCAGGGAGGGTACCAGGGAACTACTCGGGATTTGCCATGTCAACTCCAAATGCTATGACCTTCAGCTCTGAGCCACGACATGTGACCCATCAAAAGTGGCCCAGGAGCTCCACAGATCGTTCACCTATTTGCCTCCATTGCATTATTATCCTATGACCACAGTTAAAAATACAGGAAAGACGAGATCCCAGAATTATATCTAACAAGGGCTAGTAAGAATATATTTGTCTGGGATCTTGCGAATCTAATCCAAAGAATTTTAAACTGAAATGGAAGGGAGAAAGAGAAAACTGTCCACATAGACTGAGGAAGAGTAATGAAGTGGAAAGAATGTTAAACTTGGAGTCATGAGTTTGAATCCTGTCTCTTCCACTGGGGCTTCAGGTTTTTCATATGTAAAAGGAGAGGTTTGGACTAGAAAGCTGCCTCCTTAGAGGCAGCTAGTGGCACATTAGATTGAATATTGGGCCTAGGTGAGGAAGATCTGACCTCAGACACTTACTAGCTGTGTGACCCTGGGCAAGTCACTTGACTTTTGTTTGTCTCAGTTTCCTTAACTGGTAGATGGGAATCAGAGCACCTACCTTGGAGGGTTGTTGTGAGGATCAAATGAGATAATATTAGTAAAAAGTGTTTAGCACAGTGACTAGCACATAGTAGGTGTTATATAAATACTTATTCTCCTCCTCTCCTTCCATCTCTAGATCTATGATCCTGTGATTCACCAAGCTAGATGCTATAGAAAGTGGCTATGATAGAGGAAGAATAATGGTAGTCATGCAGAAACTGACAGGAGTCAAAATCCCATAAAAGAACCAGCAATAAAATACACGGCCTGAAGTATCTATAAACATGTAGTGTGTACCCTGTCTGGCCTCTCTTTCCCCAAATGAGACTGGACACATCCTCTCAGAGCATTAGTGGTAGCCTGTTAATGTGTCTCTTCTCTAATGCTATTGGCTAAAGCCCAACCCACATCCAGGGGGAAAGTTTCTCCAATTGTTAGTCACCAATGACTAGCACCCCAAATCTGTTTAACCAATTAAATTCAATTAGCTTCTATCTCCTTCACCTAGCTTTGCCTCCTCTGTACAGCCTCATAAACCTATTAGGTAGGACCCCAGAGGGGCACGGATGCTAGGCTGGCTCTAAAACCTAGTCTGGGTTTGATTCTCAGACTCCTGGACCTTGGGTAGCTTGCTCTCCTGACCTTTCAAAACTCACAAGGTTGTAGACTCCATCTAAAATAAAAGAACGAATACTAAGGCAAAGAACCAAGACTGTATTCACAGGCCACACGTTGGCCTCTGATGGATGGCAAGGGACCAAGGCCTCTCCTCTTACAACATAGTCTCTCTTCTTTCACCAAAACACTGATAGCAGAAAGAAGTTAGCCAAAGAGAAGACTCTGAGTTTCTCATAGACTAATTCTATTTTAATACATTCCTCCTACCCTCTGATAATAGCTCCACAATTATAGCTACAATGAAAGAGGCAGAAGCCTCTTTAACTCCACTGTTAGTTGACCAAGCCATTACAGACTGCCTCTACACGTTCTATCCACTGTGCCACCTAGTTGCCCAATTAAGTCCTAACTTTAAAACAAAAATTGTTGCTTAATTATGGAATAAAACAAACATTTCCATAACATAAATCCTTACTTTTTTCATAAAAAAGGAATCAACATTTCAATTATAAGTGACTGAGTAACAATTCACAATTCCCAGGAAATACCACTCCAAGAGGTACCATTCAGTTTTCTATGGTTTGTACATATTCCAGGTACATTCGTAGTTCATCTGTCCCTAAAATGAATCCTTAGTTTACCAGAGTTGGGAGAAGGCATGTTTCTCTTATCTGCAGTCCCAGCTAAGATGCTACAACACAAATAAGTCGCTATTTCTTTTACATAGAAAATATATTTTGATGGATGATGTGAAAATTTTTAAACATCAGTGAGGTACACTACAACAACAATTAGACTGTGATCTACTTGAGAAAGGGGTCTATCTTTTACTTTTCTTTGTTTCTCCAGAGCTTCAAACAGTACCTGGCACATAGTAGGTGCTTAAGAAAAATGTTTACTGATTGACCAGGTCAGCCAGACCCAAAGATTTCCTGGGTGTTGGCCAGGCCGAAGGCCCTATTCAGTATTTACAACATGTGAATTAAGTGTAAATGTTATTCAGCTCCTTTCATTATCAGCCCTAATTCTTACAAGCCCCCCCAACAAATCCACCTTAGTGCAAATACAGGGTCTTTGCTCTCTTCTGTATCTCTCCATGCTATCCTATAGTTTAATGCCTCTAAAAACTATTTTTATATTCAACAAGCAGTCTATTCCCTTGGCTTTCTAGCATCAAGGTCATAATATCCAGCTTTCTGCAAATATAGAATATAAAATTATATAGAGAGAATATATATAGAAATATAGACCACATACAATATAGACTATAGAATTCTCCAAATATAGAATAATTCTTGCAATGAGCATGACCTTGTATGGAGGATATTGAGGGTATTGATAATTATGAATATGGACTGAGAATAAGAATATTGGAAATGAGAAGTAGGAGAGGTGCTTGGTGGTACCATTAATTTTCTACACCAATCTAGTAAATCCTTGTATTCCCAGTATAGATGCAGCTAGCACTCTTGGGGAGGGTTCTCAGATGACTCTGGCTTCAGCTTGAAAGATGGGGTTCTCTGCTCAGGACAGTTTCATCAACCAACCGGTGAGCCATTCAATAAGAGGAATTTCTCAGATGGCAACCCAAATATTACCACTGTCCTAGTACTAACTCCCAGAACTAGTTGTCCTCTACTGCCCTCTGCTGCCAAAGAAAGGTAATGGTTTTATACCCCAATAGCCTGCTAAGGTCATCCATTCTGTGGCGTGCTTCTGGAGGGACAGACCCTAATCTCAACAGGCTCTAGGCCAGGTGTTCTTAACTTTTTGTGTGTCATTGACTCTTTGAATAAAGTTTTTAAGGGATTGAAAGAAATTCTAAATTTAGTGAATGCTAAAAATAAAGATGTAATTTTTTTTCCCCATCAAAACTCATAGATTCCCTGAAATCTATCCTCAGACTCCTTGCTTGCCCTATGCAATATAACTTTATGATGGCTCAGAGTCTATCAGAACTTTGCTATTTCTACTTTGCCCTTCTCAAGGTCACCTGGGTATTCCCACTGTGAGGGCAAGCATGGCAGGACAGTTCCTCAGTTCCCCAAACTCTCCTCTTGATTCTTGGCCATCTGCAATCCCCAGGAGAAATTTTCTGTCTCCTTCCTAGCTGCTTTTAGTTTTCTTGTCTTTATATGACTGTTTGTGCCAACTTGGACTGTTTGTAGTACTGAGCCAGGTAATTTGTTTCTCCACATCAAAAACAAGGTCAGTGGCTTTCTTGAAAGTGATCTTCTCCCTGACAGGTAACTAGAACCCCTTGGGCCTCCTGGCTTTCAGCTGCACTGATCCTGGGCTGTCCAGCTTTTCCCCTATTTTCAAGCAAAATTATGACCCTTTCTCCATATCTCCAAGCTATCACTGAGCTTCTTGGTCAAGATTATCTTTGCTAAGTCCCATGGGCCCATATGCCCTTCTAAAAGATCATAGAATCATAAGATTATAGATTTAGAGCGAAAGGGACCTCAGAGGTCACTTTGCAGATGAGGAAACTGAGGCTTAGTGATTTGTCTCTGGCTGCAAAGCTAGTAAGTGTCTGAAGTGTGATCCTTAGGCTCAATGCTCAACCCTTTTCTAAAAATTTCAATTAGCCACGTCCCATCATATCCTATAGCTCAATGTCCCCAAAATGCATTTTTATATTCAGTTAGCAATCTATTTCTTTGGATTTTCAGTGTCAAGATTATAGCATTCATATTTCCCCAAATATTACTATATAATAGTCCTTGCAATGAGCATGACCTTGTATGGAGGGGATGTTGAGAATTGTAAATAGAGACTGGACTGTTATCTTGGACAGTGAAGCACAAGAATTTGCATGCCAATCATTTTGTAAGGTATCTGAAGAAAACACCTTTACAACTTCTAGAAGGCCTTGGAACGAAGTGACCAAAACTACCCATACTTGATTGGTATACGTTGATGTGACCTTGCAATTTCCCAAAGAAATTGATTGTGCCAACAAAGTAAAATCGTTACTCTAATTTTACTGTGTTAACTAATTGTCAGCTCTAATTGGAACCAATTCCAGATGACTTAAGTTATTAGCAAAATATTGCAAACAACAAGCTAGAATTCCTTTACCATTCATGCAGCTTATATAGAATCCTACAGGACCACAGGATCAAGCAGTGACAATGAACATCATAAGAACATTGGTTCTTCAGCCTCCCAAGTGGATCCAGAGAAATTTGATTTTGGGGATTTCCTTGAATCTGAAAAATAGTAGGAATGGTCAGTGGCAGAAGCTCAGCAAGAGCACAGAATTGTTCTTGCCTGATTGGTAATGTGGGGGGTGTTAGAGGAACAAGATCCAGATCCCTGACTCCCAACTGTTTCAGGAAAAATCTTGGAAAAATTCTTGGGTCTGTGATGGGTGATGTCAGAGACCATCTCAAAAATCTGCTAGTTAGTGGAATCATCACAGAGTACAATAGCTCATAACTGGTTGTGTTGAATATGCTTCTGTTTTTATTATCTTCTTGTCTATATACTTTTGTAGCATGCTATGTGTAGTTTCTGCTGTTAGCTATTTATATATATGTTGCTGTTACTGTATGTTTTGTCATATAAGCCTACTGTTGTTATTATTGTTTTAGTTTTACTCTCATTTATATTTGTTTCAAGGCAATAGGATATGCATGGATTACTGTGACACATCTATATATTATATCCTGTATATAATTTAGACCTATAGTTGCTGAAGTAGCCTATCAAGTGAAGCTTTGCATTGTACTTGTATTACATATTATGTTGCATTACAAGTTTTGCTGATATAGATAGATCTATCTATCTACATATATATATATATATTTGTTATGAATGGATGCCTAAAATGATTGTGTGGGTTCCTGAGTTAATCATTCTTTTTCTATTAAGCACTGATTTTTTTTTGGATGCTATGCTACATAATTATAGATGTCAAAAGTAGCATAATTGATATTGCAAGGGATCACAAAATTCAAAAACCAAGGGAGGAATGTTGCTGAGTATTCAGACTGAATTTCCCTGTGGTAAGGTTTTGGGATCTGGTGATATGAAATTTTGGAAATTGTAGTTCTGATGGACAGTGTGAGCTTCCTTCCAGATGATGGGGAAAGATCAGGAGACGAACACTGAGCCAAAATGGTTAAACATAATATTCAATTTGGGTCTTGAGAAAAGAAAGTGCAGTGGCAGTAATGTGCATATTAGCTGTGGCCTGACAGTTTTGGGTGATGGAAATGCTTCAACAGGCATTTTGAATGGACATTAAAACTTAGGATGTCAATGCAGTTGGACCTCTCTCCTGATTGCTAGTCTGCCTATTCACACACCTAAGAAGGAGTGTGTGGCTAAGACAGATTCTTTGAGATCAGTCAAAGGACAATGAAGGTTTAACTATCCTCCTCTTTCCTCAATGCATTTCCTCTTAATTCTTAATTGTTCATGTTTTCATATAAAATTATAATTATTCATATCTGCCATATGACACATTCTTGTCATTAATTTTGTGCAGGGCATGTTGCAATGGAGGGTATCACTGAGTAGTTTGTGGTATATGATAATAAAAGAGGCAGAGGTTTAAAACTGTACAAAATACTTTTTTCTCCACCTCACTGGGGACTGAATGAAATGAGAGAAAATCTTGGATTTATAAAATCATAACCTAAATAGAAGAGGTGAACTATGTGATTCAGACCATTGTGTTTATATTGCCTATAAAATTCTAGCAGTTACAGTTTATGGTCTACAGTTGCTTATATGATTCTAGAAAGTATTTTTCTGGTAGCTGGTTTCATACGTGACTCTATATTCTCCCATACCTCTCCATATTCCACCAGTTGTCAAGTTACTGATCCTACTTTCTCAATCTCTCGCCTCAGTTCCTTTCTACTCACATCACAACTACCCTATTCCAAAATCTCATCACCTTCCATCTGGACTTCCATCTTCAAATTGATCTCCCTTTCTCAACTCTCTGAGTATTCTCCACACAGCTACCAAACTGATATTTTTAAAATCCAGATATGTCAATGCTACTTCTCTGCTCAAGAAGTTTCAATGGCTCCCCATTGCTTTTAGGCTAAAATAAAGCCTCTATGTTTGTTTTACTGTTTCTATTAAATGCCACGGGGGTTCATTCAAAAGATACTAATCAAACGTGGAAATATGTGTAATATGATTATATATCATATATATGGAGGTGGGGTGGTTCCTCATTCTGAAAAATTGAATCCAGAGTATTCATTATACTAATGTCACATGTTACCAAGAAGAGGGCACTCTTCCACAAAGGACCCTGGCTCTGGACTATAATCACATTGCATGCCATCTTGGAAAGGGAGAAAGGGAGGGAGGGGAGCAGAATTTAGAACTCGAAATCTTATAAAATTAATGTTGAGAACTAAAAACAATTAGGGGGCAGCTAGGTGACGCAGTGGATAGCTCACTGGCCTGGAGTCAGGAGGACCTGAGTTCAAATCTGGCCTCAGACCAAACACTTGACATTTACTAGCTGTGTGACCCTGGGCAAGTCACTTAACCCCAATTGCCTAAAAATAAAATAAATAAATAAATAATTTTAAAAAGATACTAGTCAACCAAAGACACTCCTTTTTGGTCTGGCTCCTTCCAGACTGAATGTGTTCTGGTGAAAGAAAAGAGGCAATTCTTTAAGGTGGGAAGCCTCTGGCCTTCGCATCCAAGGCTGATATGTGGTCCATGAATGTGGACCTCAGTTCTTGCCTTGGTGTTTATTCTTTTGATTTAGCTGAAGGAGATTGGAGTTGGCTATTATCTCGTGAGCTTCAAAACGTTAGGAGAGTAAGCCAGCAGAAGTCCAGGAATGGAGTCCACACTGGGTTTTGTGTCAGCTAGTCTGTCAACAAATCCCCAAGCAGCAAGGAGAAACCTTTGAGACCCAGCCTAGCAGTAGCTGAGACAAGGACTTGTCCAGTCTCGATGCTGTATTTGGGAGCAAACTCATTAGGATCAATGGCATTGTGTTAAGTCTGAGCCTCCAGGGACCAAGGCAGTATAGGGAAGAATGCGTTTTTCAAATGTTGGAAAAGAATGTTTTTCATTCTTGCTATATCTTCAAAGTAAATATCCTTTTCTAAATGGTAATTTATATTAATTGATTAAATGACTCTGGGCTGCTAATCACTGGCACCTTACAGTGGGGGAAATATGTGAGAATATGAGCTTGAGTTAATGCCATTAGAAAAAGACCCCCACCACATACACACATTGGCCCCTCAGGAATACCCTTAGAACCATAAAGGGGTGAGGGAGGGGCTCCTCATTCTGAAAAATTGAATCCAGAGCATTCATTACACTAATGTCACATGTTGCCAAGGAGAGTGCACTTTTCTACAAAGGACTCTGGCTCTGGACTATGCGATCCATTGGGGGAACCTAGCCCTAAAAAGAGTAGATTTAGGCTTCTTCTTGAACTCTCTGGCTCATTTTCTTCCCACCCCAAAGTCCTAGAAAAAAATCTTTTAAAGCTTACATTTGGTTCATATTTAGGGACTTCCTTAAAAGAGATTAACCAGGATACATTTGAGAAAAGTTTCTAAATATACAAAGTAGTAGATATCAGATATAGAACAGCTATTTATTTCCTTCACCAGTAAAGAAATACTTAAAACACAACCTCACAAGTACACATTGATATATTTGGAAAATGAGCAATCCTCTGCCTTCTGTTGGTACATATTTGGCTGATGGCTTCCTGCCACCAACCCCATACAACTACAGGCTAGTGGGGCAACCCAAGGCCCTATGCCTTTGGCCCTTACCTGGCAAAACCACCTCTGGGATGTATCTACCCTCAACAATCCCTGTATCTAACAAACTCCCATGAAAATTTCTCTTTTCATTTCTGTATTACTCAATTACTGAGCACCTAGGAAAAAATGATACCTAAAACCTTTCTCCTTTTCTCTCATCTCTATCCTTTTCAGCCTACCTCACCAATATTTCTCCAATTTTGCCCTCCCTTTCCACTGTGCCCTCTGGAACTCCTGCTCTATAGTAAACAGACTTCCTTTAATTCTGACCCTCTTTCTCTCACACTTCTTTGCCCTCACTGAGACCTGAGTTTCCCCAAACAACACCGAATGTCCTGTCACCTTCTCTAGCATCTTCATTCATTCCCCCCCACCCCCCGCATTAGTCCTGGAGGGGTTTTTGGAATATTCCTTCCTCTTCACTGCCACTTTCACACTCTCCCTTTGCCACCATCCCTCAGCAACCTCTTCTTTGAAGTTAATAGTGTAAAAATTTTCCACCCTATCCAAATCATAGTGGCTGCTGGTCCCCAGTTCGTTCTCCTCCTTTTCTTAAGGACTTAGCTCCTGAATCACTGTCTTCCTCTCCTCCTGGGACCAGAGATGCTTTCCAAAGGAAACTGAAATAGCTTCACATAATGGACAATCTATCACCACCACTGATACAATCATCTCTTCCTCCTTAAATAGCCCATTACGTGCCACCCTGCATACCCATAATGGTAATGCAATGCAGGTCAGCTGCCCCTGGCACAGTGTGGTTCCTGTTAAGTTCTGACAACCTTCCTATTACTCCTGGCTCATGATATAACAGAATGAAGCTTTTATTTTTCACCTAATTCCAAAGGATCCTTCCACTCTACTACCACCTCACTCCATTCTTGTGTCCTACAGATCAAATTAAAATATATATAGGAAGAAACCCATATAATGGGTTCAGTCCCATATAAATGTAATTTTACCTCCCCCCAATCCTCTGATAGTTTTCCTGAGGAAAACTGAAACAGTTGGCACTAATCTTGTTCCCCAGAGGTTACTCAGATCAAAGACTGAGACCAGCAAGAATTAAAACCCATGACCTAAAGAGGCTGAGGTAGACTTGCAGCCCAGCCTTGGTAATTTATCCACAAGCAAAGGGATAGGAACAAGAAAGAGAGTGATGAGGGAAGAAAAAAGTGTTTAAAACACCAAACATAACAGGAGAAAAAAGCTTTAGTAAGAGACCAGTTCAAAACAAAGAAATCGATGGAGATCAGTAAGTCCAGTAAGTATGAGTAAAATTTCAATGAGAATATGAAACTCATTTTAACAAGAATTATTATGTGAAGGAAAGTGAACCAAAGCCTGATGAAGAGCAGAATACTTAGGACTACTCTGAGAACATAGAAGAAACTCCAGAATAATTCAAAAGAGAGATGAATCCATAAAAATAAGAAATT